AGGTGGATTCTTTACCCCTGAGCCACTGGGAAGCTCCAGGTTTGCGTTGACTTCAGTAAATTTAAATCATTTTTAATGGAGGTCTGATTTAAGTGATTTCCAGTGCTCTGAGTGCCTTTATACAAGTTTCAGTTCAGTTCAGTTCAGTCACTCAGTCATGTCCAATTCGTTGTGACCCCATGGACTGCAACACACCAGGCCTCCCTGTCCATCACCAACTCCTGGAGTTTACTCAAACTTGGGTCCATTGAGTCAGTGATGCCATCCAACCATCTCATCCTCTGTTGTTCCCTTCTCCTCCTGCCTTCAATCTTTCCTAGCATCAGGGTCTTTTCCAATGAGTCAGTTCTTCACATAAGGTGGCCAAAATATTGGAGTTTCAGCTTCAGCATCAGTCCTTCCAATGAATATGCAGGACTGACTTCTATTAGGATGGACTGGTTGGATCTCCTTGCAGTCAAGACACTCTCAAGAGTCTTCTTCAACAGCACAGTTCAAAAGTATCAATTGATCAGCCCTAGCTTTCTTTATAGTCCAACTCACATCCATACATGACTAGTGGAAAAACCATAGCCTTGACGAGACGGACCTAGACTGAAAATAATGAGCCAGTGAGTGCTGTCCTGTCCTTGTTTTTATCCTACAAAAGCACTTCTCCCAGGAATTTGGGAGTGGAATTCACAATTCAGTGAACATAATGGGATATGTCCTGTATGGAGTCCATAGCACATGGAGCCCCAGTAGCAACCACTGTTCTGGTCAGCTTCAGGGAGGCCCCTGCTGGCACATTTACTACACCATACCCAGTTTACTAGAGCTTACCGGTTTACTACATCGTAACCAGTAGGAACAGCCTCCCCACAGACATGCTAAGGGGGTGTGTCAGCTGGACCTCCTGAGGTCATCAGTGCAGAGTCATCTTCTGTGGAAATGGGTCCCCTGGCCTTTCCTCCCCATCAGAGCAGAGTAACACAGGGATGGCTGCAAATGGACACGGTGGGAATGGAAAGGCTTAGTGGCCGCAGACAGGGGAAGTGGGGCTATTACAGGAAGTTACTTTTGCTCTGTTTTAATATTTGTGCTTCTTTAAGATCTGCAGCTGTGCTTTTATGGGATTTTCCTGGTGGCTTTGACTAGTATTTTGAAGGGCAAAAGATCCATCTTGTGGAAGGTGTATTCCTTTCTTGACTGTTTCTCCGCTCAGGAGGCCCTTGTGTCTGGTTGAACTATTCACAATGCAGGAGGCTGTGGCCCTGCCCCCAGGGCGGGAGGCGACAGGTGCATGGATTTGTATTTCCAGGCTCATCTGCCATCTCGGGTCCCAGAGCAGAGAGAGGTGTGGAGCAGGCATCACTGACCGTGCGGTGTCGATACGACCCTGGGTATGAGTCCTACCTGAAGTGGTGGTGCCGGGGGGCCGACTGGGGCAGCTGTCGGATCATGGTTAAAACCACTGGATCAGAGAAGGAGGTGAAGAAGGGCCGCATGTCCATCAGGGACAACCAGAAAGACCGCTCGTTCACCGTGACCATGGAGAAGCTCAGGCTAGATGATTCAGACACTTACTGGTGTGGGCTTGAGAAAGTCGGAACTGACCTGGGGAGCCGAGTAGAAGTGACCATTGACCCAGGTGAGAGTCTGTGTCCGTGTGGACGTGTCTCTTCAGGGCCTGCTCTGTCCAGGGACCCAGCTGGCCCTCAGAGTGAATGTCACAGGGGCTGGGGAGTCCTGAGGTCTCACGGAGCCCCCACTGACCACCTGGGCTGGGAGGGGCAGGGCTTCCCCTAGACGCTCTCCTGGCTCCAGGGCCTCTCGCGGGACAGGATCAGGCTTTCCCGGCACCTTGCTTTCCTCTGCACAGTCAATGCCTGAGTCTGTTCCCAAGGAGATGAAGGTGGTGGTCCCAGTGTCAGCCCGTGGGCCAGAGGGACCCTTCTCTGTGGGACCTGGAGCCCCCAGTTGCTGCAGTGCTTTCCTGGGACCCCTGCTGCCCTCGGGGTGTTCCTGCTCTTTCTGGAATTCAGGCTTGAGTCTTCAGAGCTGCCATGCCCTCCACGTGGTCCATATCCCATCTCAGGGGAAAGACCCAGCCCCGTGGGGGATGCTGTGCTTAATTTCGGGGTCTGGAAAGGGCTCCACAGTCAGAAGGCTGCATTTCTGATGCATGAAACCCCATCAGGACCCATTTGTACATTTGCGTTGAATGACACTCTTCCTAAATCCTTCTAGAAGGCAAACGCTCCTGGGCTTATCAGCTGAGGCACCTTGGTTTGACAGATTTTTGTCTGTTGGGCTCTGCCTCTGCTGACTCTCGGACCAGGCAACACCAGCTCACTGGGAACCTCTGGCAAAGAGGGGTGGGCACACAGTCAATAGCTCCCCTACACATACACCTGGAACCTGTGAGGCTCATTCTATTTGCAAAGCAGAGCAGGTTCATCATCTCATTCAATCCTGACAACATTCCTGAGAGGAACTGTCCCCATCGTGGGAGCTTAATAACGTCCTCCAAGTGCAGGCTCTTCCTGAACCTCGGGACTTTGCTCAGGGCTGGTCCTGACCTTTGAAGTCCCAGATCTTGGCTACGTCAGCTGCCTGGTAGCCCCCAGTCTACTCCTGTCCTCCTGGATAAGTAGATGGGGGAGGCACTGGCCGAGGCCCCGGCATAAGCAGCTGGAGCGTCTGGATTCAGCTGCCCTCCAGCTGCCCTTGTCCTGAGGCGACCCTGGGCCCCTCTGACCTCCCTGGACCTGTGCCAGCCCCACTGCCTCTGAGGCTCTGAGTCTCCCGGAGGCCAGGGAGACATGAGCAGTCCAGGCTGTCGGCCCCTCCCCTGGCCCTGCTCCAGACTCCTCAGGGCAGGGAGGCCCACTCTTTCCAAATCCCCAGACTCAGTCATGTTTAGGGTGGCGGGCAGTGAGCAGGCAGAGTGGTGTGTAACCTGGTCTGTACTTCTTACAGCACCTACAGTGTCGATCCCCACGCCTGCCACCTCCACATCTGCCACCTCCAACGCCAACATGTTAACGGCACCAGTTGCCCCAGAAGAGAATCAAGGGCAACTGTAAGTATCAGTAAGGGCTTTTGATCTGCATGAGATGTCTGATTATCTCATTTAACCAACGTATAAGCACTGCGTACCCACTCCTGCCCATCCCTTAAAAAAATTTATTTATTTTATTTTTTTGGATATGCTCGGTCTTCAGGGCTGTGCGCGGGCTTTTTCTAGCTGTGGCCCTTTTGGTCCCTGACTGTGACCACCCCCGCTCCGACAGCAGGTCGTCCAGGTCTGTTGCTGCTGTACCCGTGGCCCAGCCCTCCAATGGAGGCCCCCTTCAGAGTCCCGGCCAGAGCTTGTCTCCTGACCCTCAGGCTCTGTCGAGAGGGCAAGGACCCGGGCTCTCTTCCCACTTGCTCCTGGGCCACAAGTGTCCTCGGAGCCCCCAGACCTTTCGTCCTGGGCTCAGTGACTTTGGCAGGCGTGTTGCTTCCAACGTTCATCTGTCCCGTTTTTACGCAGAGAACCTCTATGTCGCCTGCGCTGTGTGGGGCTCCGGGGACACAGACAAGGAGCCTCTCCTGCGGAGCTCAGACATGGCGACTCTGAGTCTGGGACTTGGTCAGGACGGCAGCCAGTGTGGATGGCACAGCTGGTGTGTGTGGGCCACAGCGGGGCTCTTGGTCCAGCTTCTGGGAGAGCAGGGAAGGCCTGATAAGCCCTGCTTTCCCTAACTTCTGCTGTGGCAACAGCAGTGACATCATATCTCCTGGTGGCTCACAGAGGTTTTCCTGTCATTATTCTGTTAATTCTTTGCCCCTGCGTACGCCACTCATGAGCAGGAATGGACAGAGGCACGTTCCCCACTTACAGAGGAGCAAACTGAGTCTCACCCATGACCCTTAGTGCCCTGCCCGGCCGTTGCAGCCGGAGGGGCTTTCTGTACGCTGCGAGGTCCCTTTCACTTCCTCCTTCTCTCTCCCTGGCCTTCCCTGCTTCTAGATCTGCCTCGCTTCCTATTGCTGGGCCTTCACACAGAATATCTGTGGGCCATCCCCCCACCTTCTTCTTCCAGGAACACTTGCCACCCCCTGTCACTTTTGCTCTGTGTTTGGAAAGTTTCTTTCCACCGAACTGCTGTGAATAAGTGATCATCACTAAGGAATATCTTCATTGAATGGATTGAAGGCACTCATCAGTGTCAGGCAGGGCCTTTGATGCACACGAGATGGCCGAGTCACTCATTTATCCAACAATTAAGCATTGAGCACCCACCCCCACCTATTCCTGTTTTTCCAAGAAATTAGCTTATTTATTTTTGGCTGCTCTGGGTCTTCACTGCTGCACACAGGCTCTCTCTAGTTGTGGTTGGTGGACTTCTCTTTGCAGTGGCTTCTCTTCTTAGGTAGCATGGGCTCTGGGCTGCGTGGGCTTCAGAAGAGGTAGCACACGGACTTAGACGCTCTGCAGCAGGTGGGATCTTCCTAGACCAGGGATCCAACGCGTGACCCCTGCATTGGCAGGTGGCTTCTTTATCACTGGACCACCAGGGAAGCCTGCCCATCCCTGTTTTAGGAATACGAGGGGATATGAGGATTATCCAAATATCCAGCGGTCTGCCTTCCAGGTGCTTACATTACATAATTTACGTACTTTTTAAAAGTGATTGATTCATGACTTTATTTGAGAAACTTCTGTGAAGAGTGAGGAATAAGGGATGATTCTGGTATTAGCTTGGCTGCCATGACAAAGTAACACAGGCCAGGCGGCTTACACAGCATTCATTTCTCACAACTCTGGAGGCCAGGGTCTGCGGTCAAGGTGTCAGCAGATTTCCTTTCTTCCAAGGCCTCCCTCCTTAGCCGTGTAGACCGCCGTCTTCCTCGCTGTGGCATCATGTGTTTCCCCTTTGTGTGTGTCTGTGTCCTAAGCTCTTCTCCTTCTGATGAGCACACTAGTCCTTTCCTGCCCAGGAGAGCAGCAAGGGTCAGAACAGTGAGACATGAAGGAGAGTCCAGGGGTGAAGGCCGCTGTCACCCTGGGGTCCCGGGTTGGCGCTCGTGTAGGTTATTGGAACCGGGACCTGGGAGAGCTGGGAGGAGGGGGCCTGGGGGCAACTCACTTCCTGTCCCCGTGTCCCCCACAGGCCCCTGCCGGGCAGCGTCCACTTCCTGCTCCTGGTCTTCCTGAAGGTGCCCCTGCTCCTGGGTCTGCTGGGTGCTGTCCTCTGGGTCAACAGGCCTCTGAGGAGCTCGGGGGGGGAGCCCCAGGAAAACCAGCAGCCCCCATGGTCTTCAACGCTGTCCAGAGAGAAAGACCCTCAAACAGAAGAAAAAGGCATTTCTTGCAGGCAGTGACGGTGGTCAGCGGCACCGTGGTGGTTCTCGAGGCAGCGTGGCCCCCCGCCTCAAGAATCAGTCCCCTAGTCCCTGGAAACCTGCTGCTGTGATGCTCGGGCCTGGATCTAGTTTCACCCTTCCCTGCACAGCCTCTGACCTTCTTCGTCCTGAGGCCTCCAACACAGGAGAAACTACAGGAAGGAATGGAAGAGCAGATGCCTTTCTTCTGGGCCCTGTTCCTTGGAGGACATACATGATCTCAAGTCTGTGCCGCACACAATGTAATACACTTGTCTTTGCATTGTATGCGGGGCAGGGCATCAGCCAATCATGGGTTTGAGATTCTGTGTGTGTGCTGGATCGTGTCCGACTCTTTGTGACCCCATGGACTCTAGGACCCCACGAGGCTCCTGTGTCCATGGGATTCTCCAGACAAGAACACTGCAGTGGGTTGCCATTTCCTCCTCCAGGGGATCTTCCCGACCCAGGAGTTGATCCCGTGTCTCCTGCATCTCCTGTATTTGCAGGTGGACCACTGAGCCACCTGGGAAATTCTAGATCCCAGGAAAAGAGAAAAACTATGCTAAACACTGATAATGCGCTAACTGCATGTGAAGATATGAAGCTGTAAGTGGACAGAGGGACTTTGCTGGTGGTCCAGTGGGTAAGAATCCATCTTGCAATTCAGGGGCTGTGGGTTCAATCCCTGGTTGAGGAACCAAGACCATGCAGTGCAATGAAAGATTCTGCATGACTCAAGGAAGATCCCAGAGGTGATGCAGCCAAATAAAGTATTTTCTTAAAAAGTGGCAGAAGACTCTGGCGTCCCTGCCCTGATGTATTTTGTGTTTGTGTGAAATGAGAGTCTAGTCCCAGTGCCATCCCTCACCACACCTGAAGATGAGAGCGACCTCACAGTCTCTCCTTCTCATCCCGAGTCCCCGCACAGTTAATCTCTCCATTCTCTTCCCTCTCTTGAATGTATTCAGTCTGACTCTCACTTGGGGTCTGCAAGGAGATCCTCCATGCATTTTGGGGATGGTGGAGTAATCCATCAGTCAGACCCTGGAGTTAGAACTGATCAGCGGCTGGGAGCTAGGGTAGGCTGGAGAGGGTGGGGCTTGGAGAGGACTCTTTTTTTATAAAGATCACTAGACTAAGAGTCCTGGGATATGAATTAAGTTCTTCCTGTGGTTCATTGTGGAGGAAGCGGGCAGGGCCTCAGGGAGCTAGTTTAGAAAAGGTCAATGGTTTTCTTCTTCTCAAGTTCCTCCTGGGTTTTTACTTCTGGGTTGCCTTAAGACCAGAGAGGGAGGCTACTCATGTTGCCACTCTGTACTTGGGGGAGGGGGCTGCACCAGGAGCAGATGGGAAAGTAGCCTCTTTTTCATTTTTAAAAGACTTTTTGTTTTGTATTGGAGTATAGCTGATTAACAATATTGTGATAGCTTCAGGTGAGCAGCAAAGTGCCTCATCCATGCATATTCATGTATCCATTCTCCCCCAAACTCCCCTCCCATCCAGGCTGCCACATAAGATTGAGCAGAGTTCCCTGTGCTAGACAGGAGGTCCTTGTTGGTTATCCATTTATGATTATTTTTTAATTAATTGATTTATTTTAATTGGAGGCTAATTACTTTACAATATTGTGGTGGTTTTTGCCATGCATTCACATGAATCAGCTATGGGTGTACATGTGTCCCCATCCTGAACGCCCCTCCCACCTCCCTCCCCATCCTTCCCTCAGGGTCATCCCAGTGCACCAGCCCTGAGCACCCTGTCTCATGCATCGAACCTGGACTGGCGAGCTGTTTCACATATGATAATATACATGTTTCAATGCTATTCTTTCCAAACATCCCACCCTCGCCCTTTCCCACTGAGTCCGAAAGTCTGTTCTTTACATCTGTGTCTCTTTTGCTGTCTCGCATATAGGGTCATCATTACCATCTTTCTAAATTCCATATATGTGCATTAATATACTGTATTGGTGTTTTTCTTTCTGATTTACTTCACTCTGTATAATAGGCTCCAGTTTCATCCACCCCATTAGAACTGATTCAAATGCATTTTTTAAATAGCTGAGTAATATTGCATTATATATATGTAGCACAGCTTTCTTATCCATTCGTCTGCTGATGGGCATCTAGGTTTCTTTCATGTTCTGGCTATTGTAAACAGTGCTGCGATGAACATTGGGGTGCACGTGTCTCTTTCAATTCTGGTTTCCTCCGTGTGTATGCCCAGCAGTGGGATTGCTGGGTCGTATGGTAGTTCTATTTCGTTTTTTAAGGAATCTCACACTGTTCTCCATAGTGGCTGTACTAGTTTGCATTCCCACCAACAGTGTAAGTGGGTTCCCTTTTCTCCACACCCTCTCCAGCATTTATTGTTTGTAGACTTTTTGATAGCAGCCATTCTGACTGGTGTGAGATAGTACCTCATTGTGATTTTGATTTGCCTTTCTCTGATAATGAGTGATATTGAGCATTTTTCATGTATTTGTTAGCCATCTCTATGTCTTCTTTGGAGAAATATCTGTTTAATTCTTTGGCCCATTTCTTGATTGGGTCATTTATTTTTCTGGAATTGAGCTGCAGGAGCTGCTTGTATATTTTTGAGATTAATTCTTTTTCAGTTGCTTCATTTGCTATTATTTTCTCCCATTCTGAAGGCTGTCTTTTCACCTTGCTTATAGTTTCCTTCATTGTGCAAAAGCTTTTAAGTTTAATTAGGTCCCATTTGTTTATTTTTGCTTTTATTTTCATTACTCTGGGAGGTGGGTCATAGAGGATCCTGCTATGATTTATGTCAGAGAGTGTTTTGCCTATGTTTTCCTTTAGGAGTTTTATAGTTTCTGGTCTTACATTTAGATCTTTAATCCATTTTGAGTTTATTTTTGTGTATGATGTTAGAAAGAGTTCTAGTTTCATTCTTTTACAAGTGGTTGATGAGTTTTCCCAGCACCACTTGTTAAAGAGATTGTCTTTCTTCTATTGTATATTCTTGCCTCCTTTGTCAAAGATAAGGTGACCATAGGCGCGTGGATTTATCTCTGGGCTTTCTATTTTTTTCCATTGATCTATATTTCCGTCTTTGTGCCAGTACCATACTGTCTTGTTGACTGTAGCTTTGTAGTAGAGCCTGAAGTCAGCAGGTTGATTCCTCCAGTTCCATTCTTCTTTCTCAAGATTTCTTTGGCTGTTTGAGGTTTTTTGTATTTCCATACAAGTTGTGAAATTATTTGTTCTAGTTCTGTGAAAAATACTGTTGGTAGTTTGAGAGGTATTGCATTGATTCTATAGATTGCTTTGGGTAGTATAGTCATTTTCACTATATTGATTCTTCCGATCCATGAACATGGTATATTTCTCCATCTATTTGTGTTATCTTTGATTTCTTTCATCAGTGTTTTATAGTTTTATATATATAGGTCTTTTGTTTTCTTAGGTAGATTTATGCCTAAGTATTTTATTCTTTTTGTTGCAATGGTGAGTGGAATTGTTTCCATAATTTCTCTTTCTGTTTTCTCATTGTTAGTGTATAGGAATGCAAGGGATTTCTGTGTGTTAATTTTATATCCTGCAACTTTACTATATTCATTGATTAGCTCTAGTAATTTTCTGGTGGAGTCTTTAGCATTTTCTATGTTGAGGATCATGTCAGCTGCAAACAGTGAGAGTTTTACTTCTTCTTTTCCAATCTGGATTCCTTTTATTTCCTTTTCTTCCCTGATTGCTGTGGCTAAAACTTCCAAAACTATGTTGAATAGTAGTGGTGAGAGTGGGCACCCTTGTCTTGTTCTTGACTTTAGGGGCTGCTGCTGTTGCTAAGACACTTCAATTGTGTCCAACTCCGTGTGACCCCATAGATGGCAGCCCACCAGGCTCCCCTGTCCCTGGGATTCTCCAGGCAAGAATACTGGAGTGGGTTGCCATCTCCTTCTCCAGACTTTAGGGGAAATGCTTTCAATTTTTCCCAATTGAGGATAATGTTTGCTGTGGGTTTATCATATATGGCCTTTATTATGTTGAGGTATGTTCCTTCTATGCCTGCTTTCTGGAGGGCTTTTATCATAAATGGATGTTGAATTTTGTCAAAGACTTTCTCTGCATCTATTGAGATAATCATATGGTTTTTATCTTTCAATTTGTTAGTGTGGTATATTACAGTGATTGATTTGTGAATATTGAAGAATCCTTGCATCCCTGGGATAAAGCCCACTTGGTCATGATGTATGATCTTTTTAATGTGTTGTTGGGTTCTCTTTGTAGAATTTCGTTAAGAATTTTTGCATCTATGTTCATCAGTGATATTGGCCTATAGTTTTCTTTTTCTGTGGCATCTTTGTCTGGTTTTGGTATTAGGGTGATGGTGGCCTCATAGATGAGTCTGGAAGTTTACCCTCCTCTGCAATTTTCTGGAAGAGTTTGAGTAGGATATGTGTTAGCTATTCCCTAAATTTTTGATAGAATTCAGCTGTGAAGCCATCTGGTCCTGGGATTTTATTTGTTCGGAGATTTCTGATTATGGTTTTGATTTCCCTGCTTGTGATGGGTCTGTTAAGATTTTCTATTTCTTCCTGGTTCACTTTTGGAAAATTATACTTTTCTGAGAATTTGTCCATTCCTTCCAAGTTGTCCATTTTATTGGGATATAGTTGCTGATAGTAGTCTCTTATGATCCTTTGTGTTTCTGTGTTGTCTGTTGTGGTTTCTCCATTTTCATTTCTAATTTTGTTGATTTGATTCCTCTCCCTTTTTTTCTTGATGAGTCTAGCTAATGGTTTGTCTATTTTCTTTATCTTCTCAAAGAATCAGCTTTTAGCTTTGTTGATTTTTGCAGTGGTCTCCTTTGTTTCTTTTTCATTTATCTCTGCCCTAATTTTTATGATTTCTTTCCTTCTACTAACCCTGGGGTTCTTCATTTCTTCTTTTTCTGTTTGCTTTAGGTGTAGAGTTAGGTTATTTATTTGACTTTTCTCCTGTTTCTTGAAGTAAGCTTGTATTGCTATGAACCTTACCCTTAACACTGCTTTTACTGAATCCCATAGGTGTTGGGTTGTTGTGTTTTCATTTTCACTTGTTTCTATGCATATTTTGATTTCTCA